TTCTGGGGTTGTTACTTACTCAGTTTGTTATCTATTCTAATGAATACATCCATCAAAACCATTCATTTGAGATTACACAATCCTTTACCTCAACCTGTTTCTCTTCAAAATTCTAATTCATCTTCTCTTATAACCTTACATGCCACCACCCTAAAAAAATCCGGCTCAGGATATCAATCCGAGTGTCTGCACTCAGCTTTAAGCAACCTTCCAACTGCAGAGCAGAAAGCAATTCACAAGGCCAGGAGAACAGGTCCCATCACAGGACCCTCACATGCTGCTCAGCACTGCACAGGACCTCCCGTCACCCAACCCTCTCTCAGAAACACCTGCTACTACTGACCATTCCCTCCTTGAAACAGGCCCTCCCCTGAGTTTTCATTCCCCTACTCTCCAAGTTTTCCTACATCTCTCATCACCTCTTAGACTCCTTCTGTTCCAGTGCTTCTTTCTCTGTAATCCCTCAAGTCTTACCTCTCTTTCTATGCTCTCATTCTTTAGAGGCGGTCTCATCTTCTCTTGTGGCGGTCTCATCTTCTCTCTTCTGCTACCATGTGCATAGTGACAACTGGGAAACATACCTCCAGTCCATATGAGTCCTCGACCTGAAACCAGTGATGTCTCCAGTAGGCCAAAACATGGGGCCAAAACTGACATCAGTGCCTTCTTCTCCCATCTCCCCTGACACCTGCTCCCCCTTCTCCTGCATTCCCTTTCTCAGTGGTTTCCCTTAGCAATGAGCCTGGGAGGATGATTTAACTCCCAACAACCACTTATAATTCTTCCAGTTTTCCCCTCTGATTATGTTTTCAATCTCTCCCTTCTCCTACATATCTCCCACTACCAACATTTTCCTCACCTGAATTACTTCAAAGGTATCCTCATCAATTTCCATATGTAGTCTTACTCCTCCAAACCAATAGACACAGGCCTTTCTAGCATAAAAATCAGTTGATAACCCTTCCCTATCAGAATACCTCTCCATTCCCTTTGGAAGAAATAGTTCTCTATTTCTTCTGAACGCTAGACATTTTTACTTCAAACGCCCATAGTCGCTCAAAAAGCTACCCTTCTTGCCTCTGACTTTCTCTCTGTGCTCCTTTTTCCATGAAGAGCACCTCTTCTTACCTGTGCCTAGATCAGAAATCTGGATGGCACTGCTGTCAGTCTTCAGCCCTCCCCTCAACACCCAGTTCATCACAGATTTTTTTGAGTTCATCCTACTTAACATTTCTTGAATTCATAAGTTTTTCCTCAAACCCAATCCGAATACCCAAGTCCACATTACCATTTTCTTTTTGTCCACGACAGCCTCCTAACTTGTCTCCTTTTCCATCTGGTCTGTCTTTCAAAGCTTTTCTCCACTCTATAGGTAGAATAATCTTTCTAAAATGTTAATATGATTGTGCTTAAAACCTTACAGTCATACTCCGCTGCTTTTAGCAACACCAAAAATAGCTTTAATGGAGCTTAGTCCTAGTGAAGAAAGACAAAAAATAATAAACAAGATTAGTTCAAATAATAAATATAATGGGTAGTGCAAGACACCAGGGAGGTAGAATGGCTCCAGATCTGAAAGTCAGGGCGGGCCTCTTGAAAAAGTGATGTTTCCGTGGGATGCAAACTATCAGAAGGAGCTGGCTTGGAGAAGAAGGCCAACTTCAGTTTGCTTACTCACCATCATCCCCACTGGACTATGGCTCCCTGGGGATGAGGCCCAGGCTGACTAATTACACTGCTCTAAACACCACTACAGATTTTGCCACATGTAGGTCTCAAATACATGTTTGATGAGTGGAGAGACGAAGGATGCTTGCATTCAAATTTTTCACCAGTCCAACTGTAGGTGAATTGTGTGCTTCATTTTTTTGTATATTTGTTGACATCAATTTGTAGAACAATTAAAATTTCTAGAAATACATAAACAAATAGGATTTAGACTTTACAGAGAAGTTTTACTTTCCTTAAATCCTTCTAAAATATTTCATAACTGATGTTGTACCGTAATCTCTTATAAGCAGAAGTCGTAGAATAGCAGAATGGATGGACCCCTTGCTAGGATACTGCAGGTGTCTCAGCCCCACTAACCATAAAAGTCAGGGTCAGTCAGCAAGGGGGCTCTGAGGCTCCCTGGCTTTGAGTCTCTTAATAGGCAAAACTATTTTTATATAAGCCCAAATCGACATCAGACACTCAGATTCATAAAGAAAAAAGTTTCATGTATTATGGTTCATTTCTGCTAAGAGGAAAAACTACAAAGGATCCTTTAAAATATATTGTGTCAAGCGTAGATTCTGGAAAATAATATATTTCAGTTCATAATTCCTTACTTGCAAATTGAAAGTTAAAAAAAAAAAATTTGGCAGCAAAACCTGATCTGATGTGAGAGGATTTATACATTTCCTTTACTCTGCTTACTGTGACTATTCCCTTGTTTCACTGCAAAAACAGAATATGTCTGATTGTAGCTGCTGCCTCTCACCTCACAGAAATATTGGGTAATATAAGATATAGTCAATGTATTGTTTTTCTAAAATTCAAAAAAATTCTGACCTGGGTTTCAGATAAGGGATCTATATTCTATTGTAACGCTCAACCAATTCTATCATCTTGAGTTGTAATACTTGTGTAATGTATAGGCTTTGAAGTGCCCAGCAAAAGTAACATCACAGAAATATCATCAGCATGATTTTAGCATTTACAAGTAATATCATTGAAAATTGATCTGAGTTTCCTCTGATTTGAAGTATGCACTTAAACTAGTATACTACTGCTTATATGTATTTGTATATACTTCTATGGCCTAGAGAAGCTTCTGAACATAAGGAAACCTTTGCAGGTAAATCCTTTACACCACATCTGGACATAACCTAGGCATTGCAAGCAGAAGAATAATTTGCCATAGCTTCTCATTTTTTTCAAGTGTTTCATTGTTCTCATTTTATAACTTGTATAATTTTCTTATACTTAATATTTTTCCTCCTAAAAGTTTCAAGAAGCAGCACCTACCTTCTGGGAGCAAGGTTTCTCCCCTTCACAGGACACATATCTGGTATTCAGCTGCAAGGCTCATTATGTAAATTAGTTCTGATTTCCACAGTCACCCTGCAGATATTTTCTATTCTTCTCATTACCCAGTTGAACAAACTCAGGCTCAATTTGTCCAAGGCCACATGGCTCCCAAGTGGCAGAACAGAATTTGAACCCAGGAATGTCTAGGTCCAAAACCTGTGTCTTCCAAAAAATCAAAGGGCAAATAATTGATCCATGCTCCAATCTCATTCTCAGTGTGTGCATAGTTAGAAGGATAATCCTGCTTCAACCATGGTAGAAGTGAGAGTATAATTTTTTTCTAAATGGCTATGCTAGTTATTTGACAGTGTCTTTATACTTCCATAAGATGAAGATACAATACCTGGTTTTTAAAGATTCAACTCTATAGTCATATAAAAATCAACTGATAAAATTTTGCTTTTTGTTTTATTATATTTTCTTTCTTTTTCTTTTTACTTTTTTTTTGAGTTGGAGTCTCACTCCGTTGCCCAGGCTGAAGTGCTGTGGCACCCTCACAGCCACCCCAGCATCGACCTGCTGGGCTCTGGCGATCTTTCTGCCTCAGACTTCCAAGTAGCCAGAACCACAGGTACATGCTACTGTTATATTTTCAATAAATACAACTAGAATTGGATAGGGTTGTCAACAAACACAGCAAAATCAGACGTTCAATATTCACCCACCTTTTGGAAGCATCATCTATCTACATTTATCAGAAATATTATCAGACAAGGGGAGGAGAAAGGCTTACCCCTCATAACAACATAGCATAAAAGGACAGAGATGAAGGTCATTAATGATTTTAATTATTTTAAGGCCCATTAAAATTAGAGAAATATCAAAGCACCCACAGTGTTAAAGGGTTTATTACAGCATTTTAGAGTTCCTAGTTCATACCTTTCAATCACAGCAAGTTATTAGCAGTGAAGGGATGAACCCTCTTCAGAGAATTTTTATTTCAATGATAGGGTGTTATGAACCAGACAACCTAGGTTTTAAAAAAATTAGTAGCAAGCGCTAGTTGAGTTAATCAGTTAAAGACAAACTGTGCTCTTGGGAAGCTAAATGAAAAAGCAACAGTAAAGCTTACAGAACTTAGCTCGTACAATTTGCCTTGAAGGCGGAAGATTGGTTCCCTGAAATAGCAAAGAATTATATGCTTTAGTTCAGAAAAAAAGTTTTTTAAAATAAAGTCTGTTATTACCTCTTCTCTTTTCAAAACAATGGAAACAAAATCTAGAGCAGAGGTTTCAATTTGCTCAATAATTGTACCTCTGAATTTTTTAAAAACTATAAAACCATCATTGTTTTGACTTGAAAAGAAATAACAATGCAAATATTCATTATCACATAAAACATAAAAGAAACAGCAAACTGTGAGTTAATACAATCTTTGCAGAGCGCTATTAGTCAAAGACAGCTGGTCAGTCCAAAAAACCCAAAAACCCAAAGGATCAGGTCTCCTTAGGAATTAAAGTCTTCATTAACCAACAGGAACTTAGTGTGGCAGAGACTAAATCCAACAACTGCCTTCTTAGGGGCTGTCCCTTCACTGATACCAAGCTGTGCAAACGTGTGAACTAGTAAGCAGCTCAGAAAGCTCATGCAACTAATCACCAAAGTTCAACCTTGAACTGACTTATAGAGTCGGTGTTAAATTAAATTAGGGGTAAAGTAAGCAAGCAAAACAGAACACAGGAGTCAAGTTGTAAATGCAGAGCAAGTAGCCGAAAAGTTATTTAAAATAAATGAATATGGTTAACAAAATAAAACAGCCAAAAATAAATGCAATTCACTCCAAAAACTTTAAAAGCGAAACAAAAAAATGAAAAGCTGCATTTCAAGCAAAAATTGCATGTGATTAATTTGCATTAAAAAAATAGTCAAGCGATGTAGTTCCAGTTCTTTGGGTCATGCATGCGCCGAATCTCTTATGCAATTCCTACCTGGTTTCCAATCGTGGTCTTCTTGTGAACCTGACTGCTCCTCTGCTGAGCACTGGAAAAAGCAAAGGAAAGCAGCACTGAGGAAACGTGATTTTTTTTCTAAACACATAACAAACACTAAAGTATATAAAAACTTTTTTAAATAACCAACAATTGAGGCAGAGTTAATATCAAAATTTCAGGTCACTTTAATTCTGGAAGCAAAACCAACTCAGTGGGTTCCTAGTAGCAAATAACAATCACAAACCAAAAATACAACACCATCACTGGAAGAAAAGCTGCACTGCCATATTAGTAACAGTGTGGTTTGATGGACTTGTGACTCCCCTCAGGCACAGAGCACAGTTGTCATGAAAATTAAGTATATACCATGTTCTAAGTGCTTCACAGATGTTAGTCATTTTAAGTCTCACAACAACCCTGTGAGGTAGTTACTATTATTATTCTTGTTTTATAAATGGGGAGACTGAGTCACAGAGAAGTTAAGTGACTTTCTCAAAGTCACTCAGCTAAAAAGGGTGGTACCAAATAGTGTGACTCCATATTCCAAACTCTTTGTGATAACGTCTAATCTCATTGCTTTGAATTCCACTACATTCTGACAATTCCCTTCGTGCTTCATCAGCCTGGACCCATCTTCCCAAATCAGAACTCATACATGTTTTTGACAACCCAACATCTTCAGCTGGGGGTCTAATGGGCATCTCACACTAACATGTTACAACTAAACTCTTGAAGTCCTCCCTAAGACTCTGCTCCACCCGCAGTCTCCCCCTTCCTACTCAGAGGCAATTCCCTATCATATTTCCAAGTGCTTGGACCAAAATCCTCAGCTCCTGTTTCTCTCACATCCCATATCCAATCACCAGCAAATGCTGCTGACTCTCTTATTCAGAGATTTAGAATTCAACCAATTTTTACCACTCCCGTTGATCCCACCTGGGTACAAGTCACTACCATCTCTCTCACCTGGATTACTGCAGTCTTCACTCACTGTCCCCCTAAAGTCTTTTCTTAACACAGAGGCCAGAGTGATCCTTTTAAAATAATCGTATCGCTCTTCTGCTCAAAACCCTCTACTGCCATTAACACCAATCCACTCAGTAAAAGCCACAGTCCTTCCGGTGGTCCACAAGCCCCTACTCAACCAAGCCCCATGCTCCGCCTCTCTGACTCCTCTCCTTCCCTCTACCTCATTCACTGGAGAGTTCCAGCCACCCTGGCATCTGCTCTTTTTTGAATCCTCCCAGCACACTCCCACCTCAGAGCCTTTGCACTAGCTAGCTTCCTAGAATGCACTTCCCCTGTATGTCTGAACGGCTCCCAACAGCTCCTTCAGGTCTCCACTCAAATGTGTCTTTTCAATGAGGCCTGCCCTGACCACCTTGTTCAAAAGTGTTTCCTCCCTTCCTCCAGGACTCTCCTCCCCTTTACTCTGCTTTGTGTTTCTCTCTTCCAATACTGCATAGAGTATTTGTTCGCCTCTCTGCATTAGAATATAAGCTCCTTGCCAACAGAGCTTTGCATCTGTCCTGTTCTGTACTACAGGGCCTACAAAGGAGCTGGCACATAGTTGGTTTCAACAAATATCTGTTGAATGACAAGTCGGGTGAGGTTGATGCCATTATGACCCCATTTTATATATGAGTACAGAGGGTGAGAACCAGACAAGATTCCAGCAAGCTAGCCCCAGGGCCCACACATTTAAGCTCTATGTTCCTCTACCCCTCAAAAGGGTGAAGGCTTTCTTTCAGCGGACCCACGAGAAAACATCTATCAATATAGAAAACACAATGCATTTTGGTTATTCTGAGACCAGCAATACTCAACTCTCTTACAGGCTGTTAAATAATGTACAGATGCTGTTTTGGAGATCTACGAAGTAGTCTAAAATATAGAAAAGGTAGACTAAAGCCATCAGTCAGCCGGGCTCGGTGGCTCAGCCTGTAATCCCAGCGCTTTGGGAGGCTTAGGTGAGTGGATTGCCTGAGCCCGCGGGTTTGAGACCCACCTGGGCAACTTGGCGAGACCTCATCTCTACAATAAATCAAAAATTAGCCCAGTGTGGTAGCGCGCGCCTGTAGTTCCAGATACTTGGAAGGCTGAGGCGGAAGGATCGCCGGAGCCCAGCAGGTCGAGGCTGCAGTGGCCACAAGAGGCCACTGCACTCCAGTCTGGGTGACAGAGTAAGACTCCAGCTCAAAAAAAAAAAAAAAAAAAGCCATCAGTCAGCTGTTGAAAGTGATGGTGGGATATCATTGTTCGAAAGCAAATTAGAAATGAACACACTTAGAACACATGTTCAAGATAGATTATTCTGCCCTCCTCTGCTAAGGGCTAAGCTGATTCCCTTCATTCAAATTCGTGAAAAAATACACTATGTTCAGCTGAGGTTGGGCAGAGGGCAAGGAGAAAAGGCCACACTGTATTTGGTTGCTAAAGATATTTTATTTTTCAATTTTTGATTTACTGATTTCAGCTTCCTTCTTTCTTCCTTGTGTTTTGTTACTTTTCTAGCCTTTGGTTAATTGGTTAATTCTCTTAATCACTTTAAAATTCATCTCTCTTCTTTCATTTCTCTTAATAATCTAAATCTGCATGATTCAGGTTCTGTAAGTGACATTGTGAAAAGAGGTGAATTCTCTATTTATGACCAGGAACCAGTGTGCCCACACCGCCCTCTGGCTGCCCTGGAAAACAATTTCTTATAATGTGATTATTTTTTTTATGGGTGATGGCTGTCTCTTCCAAGCACCATAATTGTGTTTTAGGGCTTTCTTTAAGGTGAAGTATTTTCAATAAAGCATTCACTAGTGATAATAACTTCAAAACTATGATAGGCCCACAGTGTTTACTTCAAACAAATTATTGAGGACCCTAAAATTATATGTAGGTACCCTTAAAATCCCACAAGAGAAAAGAAGCCGAATATAAAGCAAAGGGCACAGAGATTGTTGATGACTCCTTTGCTATCAAAGAGTTTGATCTAAGTGGGCATCAGTTTCTCAGCTGTAAAATGTGTATGAATGTGTTGTGAGGGACAGGCAGACAGAAACAGTCAGAGAGAAGAGGTAGGAAACCAACAAGCTGTTTCTTGGGTTCCTTTTAGGTCCGAGACCTCCTGAGATGCAAACTTACTCTCAGAAGCTTATTACCTACCCTAGATAAAAAGAATGTCCACTGTAGAGTTTCTGTCTACAAAATAATACATATTTAGGATCAACTACTTGTTATAATATCCAGAAGGAAAAATAGACTTATTTTATATGCCAATCTCAAATATGAGAGTTAGAAAAAATAGTAAGTTTCCTTTACTTTCTACCTAATCCTTTTGCAACAACTGGCCTCATAAATTCAAACACATTGTTGTTAATGATGTAATTGAAACCACAATAAAAAATAAGCTGCCTACTTAGAAAACATCCTCTATCATAATTCTTTTGTATGCTATAATAATTGAACTAAAAATATTTCAAAGTACTTATTTAGGAATGTGTTCATGACAAAACATGTAAAGACTTGCAAGTTACTTTGAATTCTTGGACATGTTCTGGGATACAGTTACTTAACTAGTTATTCCTGTAACGTTATAAAACTTACCTATGTATAATATTATAATTTGACATAAGTTAAAAATTGTAGAGTGGAATTCCACTCTGTGGAAGATATAAACATGAATAAGTTATGGTTCTTGAAATCCGAAGCCTACATTTTATCTATCACAGGTGAGGAGATACATAAAACACAAAACAGAAATAACAAGTAAGGAATAACATCTTTAAAAATAAATATGTGAGCATATAATAGCAAAAAAAGGTGCTTCTGTTTCAAATGTGAGATACAATTAAACTACATCTTCTTATATTTGTGTGTGTGTGTGTGTGTGTATGTGTGTGTGTGTGAGTGTGTGTGTGTGTGTACATTTGTTGTTAATCACATAAGTTCCTACTACACATAAGTCATTCTGGAAGGCTTTGCCAGAACACTAAAAACATAAAACCAAATTAGGTTTATGCTCTGAGACACAATGATTCTAAAAGTGTATAACAAGAAGTTTCAAATTTTATAAATAAAAAAACTAAGAGTACATTAAAAGACATTCAAAGATAAAGAATTTGCAATGTTATCTCTTAGCTCAAAAAATATTTTTGCATATTACCTTCTATCCCTGTCTATGTGCACATACAACGAAAGATTCACACAACTAAGGAATGTGCCAAGTGCATGTGTGACCATTTATCAAATAAATCCTATACAAAGTAATTGCTTTGAATGTTCAGAGACAAGAAATATTAATCCAATCTGATACGATCTGAGATTTTGACAGAAAACTTGAAAGAAAGGTAAGTTTTAATAAAGAAAGACAACCAATTGCATTCCAAGAAAATAGACTGGTGTTAGCAAGACCAGGAGGTAGAAAGGTGAGGCATGTAGGCAAGTTGTGGAGAGTAAAGTTAAGATGGCAGAATTACATAGTCACAGACTCGAGTTTGTAAATGACCTTAAAAGCAATCTAGTACAATAACCATATGCTGAAGCTATTTGTGGAGAATTTGGCTGTTACACTGGAGGCAGCAGAAAATTGCATGATCAAAGCAATGTTTTAGTAAATATTACCTCCCTGAAATGGGCAGTATGGACTCTGAAGCAGGGAAGACAGGAAGTAGCCAATCCAGACTCCTCTCTCTGACTCCTGGAGTCCTGCCCAGATTTCAAAGTCCAATCAAGTACCATTTCTGGGTTATGCCTTCTCTGAAAGCTCCAGTTATCTCTCCTTCCCACGCGTTCCCAACCCTTTGGTCTGTGCCTGTATTACATAAACAGGATTGTGTTATAGTCAGGTCTCTAGCTCCTCTGCAAAAATGCCTGCTCCTTGATGGCCAACTGTGTAGAGTGTTATTCTTGGTTTTTCTGCCTCTCTCACCACTGACTTTCCCTAGCCCAGGGTTTATGGTGGTGTTTTAAAAAATACTGATGGAATTCTATTTTGATACCGGGGTTATTCACAACCAGACATCAATGTTCATCTGCAATAGGAAATTTAAATAATTT